AGTTTAATCTCGTCATGGCAAAAATATTTTTTCTCTTCATGTGTGGCCCTAATACTCCGTCGTAAAATTGTATTCATTAATCAATGATCAAATACTGGAATTTAACCAATCACAGTTACTCCTCAGATGCAACCCTCTCCCTCACTGGTGTGGCAGTCTAACCAATGAGATATTATACCGGTAACTGGTTTTCAGTGTGCTCCTGGATCAGACGGGTCGCAGAAAAGGTAAATGGAACAGGTAAAGCAAAAAGACAATGCAACTTAAAGGAGTGTTTGAAAAATGCAAAAGAAAAAGAAATGGAATATGGAGCAACCTTTTTAAACATGTGATTAGCAAAGGTAGCTATAATCAGATTTAAAAAATTTGTTTTTTTATATATTTGAAATAGGATTTTAAAACACATTCTCAAATTCCAGTATTTAACAATGAATTAATAAATACAATTTCTTCTTTAATAATTCAATTTAAAATGTGCAACCAGAAATTGTGACAGCGAGGGTTCGAAAAATGTAAATATTTGGAGAAATCCTGTGATGTAGCTCATAAATACCACTATCATCACATTGTTAAAACACCTGAAAAGGAATAACTGTCACTCTTATGGCATAGAGAGGCTTTACAAAAGTTGTAACTGGCTGTGTTTTTTACTTGCTTTATATCATGACTTCTGGCATACCACAGTAAACATATGTTAGCATATTCGTTCCATCCATCCATCCATCCATCCATTCAGCCATCCATCCATCCATCCATCTATCTAATGGTGGTTAAACTGATGTGTTCCTTTATAAAATCTGAAAATTTTAAAGAACTAAGCTACTGCAGAACTTTAAAACTCTAAATACTGTCTATCTTTTCAAGTTGTTAGTGACATTATGCAATGGGTGTTTAGTTGTTCAATGTTGGGTGTTTTTTAATATGCTTTGATCTGAGGATTATGTTCTGTTGGTGTTAAAGCTTCTTGAGCTGACACAAAATATAACAAAATCCTTATTATGCAACATCCCTGCATGTTTGGATCTATGGGAAGGCCTACAATGCAGATTTGAGGTTTTGGAGAAATGTACCGGTAGCAGTTTTAGAGTTTAAGAAAGATAGATTTACACAAATAATAGCCTGTTGTACTGCCTGTGATGGAGATGTTGGTTCTGCTTTTCCCCAAAATCTAAATCTATACAAACCACATTTATAAGTGAAATCATGCTGTACCCATCTCAGCTTTACAAGACCCCTGTGTTCCTGCTGGTGGTGCTTTGCCATATGTCTGCATATAAAGTATGATTCATTGCTTTTGGTTTCTTTTTGCATCTGAGAAAGGGCTAGTGTGTGTGTATATGCATTGGTGTGTTTAGATGGGGGTGGGGAGTACCATCCTGATTGGCTGAAGTATTTTCTCTGGCAACGAGCAAACGTGATCCCGCCTGCAGAGGCACTGCAGAGAGTGCTGCAGTGAGAGAAAGAGAGAGGCAGGGAGGAGGGGAGCAGGCAGGCAGAATAAGCTACATGAATAAGGACTGAACCAGAAGCCCACAGGAGACAGAGCACTTTGTGAGTGTGTGTACATGTTTGAATGCGTGAAAACACTGCGCATGTGTGACTGAACGGATGGTGGAGGAGAAAGAGCAGTAATGAATGCCAGCTGAGGGATGACAGCACAGGAGAGAGAGAAAGAGAAGACAGAGGCTCACCTGAAGACAACAAGAAGGCAGTAAGAAAGAAAGGAAGACATAATAGGTGGATCTATGACAGACAATAGCAGCTTGAGTCTCTACACAGAATAAGATGAATAATGTTTGAATAGTAGCTGTAACACCTGGGATGAACAATAGGACACAGGAAGAGAGATGAACATCTACAACTCAAAGGATAAAGACTGGAAGAGTGAAGTAGAATGATATCGGAAGACCAATGATACTGAGGTTGACGAAAGCAGACTGATGTTTCCACCTTGCAACAGCTTCCTCCATCTTAATATCTCCTCCATGTTGTTGGTGCTCCAGGAATAGAGACGGATAGAAGAGAGACGGAAAGCATCCTTACCTCAGTGACAAAAAAGACAAAGCAGATTATCATCAGATGCGAATTACTTGATGAAGAAGATAAAACATTGAAGGTAACATCCATCTAAAGCAGACAGGTGAGAATGAGGAAAAGCTTTACATCTCTTTCTTGTTGAAGATCCATCTCATCCAAACTGCTTTCACACCGTTACCTTTTTTTGTACTGGCATAGCAAAAAAAAAGCGATGGTTTGTCTTTTGTTTGTTTTTTTGGTCATAGCCATGTTTTGCACAGATGTTGCATCATGCTGATCTTTGTTGAAGGAATGGATTCAGACACTGATGTTTATGAGTAGACAAACCATTACAGCATCTTGTCAGCAAACATCCTATCAGGTATAAAACATGACTTAAGGAGGCTTGTGTCTGGTTTTTGGTATAGATATTGTCTAAAAGGCTTAGTGTGAGCTTCAATGACATTTACCAGATCTCCACACAGGCAAAAAGCAGGGTTGGGTGAGCAATGATCCGTTCTGTAGCTGTCAGCAGTCACAGATGCATCTCCATAATGGCAATGCATTGGCGCTGCAGTGAGAGCACCCTGTGCACTACGCTGGGATTGCATAACTGCTGCTTCATCCAAACTGCACCCCTCCTATTTGCTCAAAGCCGTGTGCGGCTGCAGCTGCTTCATCCCATAAAGACCAAAGCAGTTTGCTTCTCTTAAGTGATGTTCACCTTGTAACTTCACTGAGACATCTTTAATAATTTGCCATCATTGATCAAGTCAGCGTTGTTATTGAGGAGCTCGGACACTGTCCCTCATATATCTCTAATGAGGTCTTTGTTAGGCAGAGGGATGCATTCATGCTTTTATTTTTATCAACAGGATCTGCCATGTTGGCGTGGGAGCTACACAGGCGAGAACAAAGAGCAATTGGCTGTGATGAATTGTGAGCCAAAATGGCCGATGTCTGTTGTCATAAATGATAGTAGACTGTATTATTTAAATCAAAACTTTTTTTAAGATAAAAGCACAAACACTAGTTGATGTTTTACACTGAAAATGTGAAATGAGGATTGGGGAAATAAAGGACTGCAAGCTGCAAAAGGTGATGTCTCTTTAGTAATAAGTAAATCCCATTCATCATTAGAATTTAGTGATATAATGAGGATACGTTTAGTAGAGTTGGGGATTTGTCCTTCCAAGGTTTTAACATGTTACATAATCACAATATGCAGCATTATATCCCACATACACCGATAGAGATGTGCTGCATTTTTTTTTATCAGGAAAGTATTAAATCTTTAAGGAGATAACATACTTGACATACTGCTGGCAGGTGCAAAAATACCCGCAGTCGGCTCCATCGAGGAGGAAGCTGTGATAAACACAGATTTTTGTAGATGGCAGAGTGACAGGGAGACATTCTTATGAGCAAAATTATGGATGACTCATTCAGAACATGGTGCCTTATCCAGGCTCCCATCCCCACAGGTGGAGGGACTCATTCGTGTATGATGGTGTTGATGGGGGAGTAGCTGTGAATGTGAATGAATGTGTGCTCAAGACTCAGGCAGCACGTGAGGTTTGTTTTATCAAAGAAATGCAGCTGTTTGTTTTTGTCTCTTTTCTTGATTCTTTTTTTTCTCTTCCATCAGTTACTGGATGCATTTATAGATAATCATTTTTTATTGTCTCCCATCTGCCTGCTATCTGTGTGTTTGTCTCTGGAGGAATGTAAAAGGGTGGTGCTCTGTATGTACATGACGAAATGGTCTGAGGGGAAGAATGTTCTCAGATGGATGTGTGTGTGAATGCAGCTCTGTGTGTTTCAATTGAACGAGGAATCTGCAGCTGAGAGTGACTCCTCTGACATCTCCGTGGTCATTTTCTCCTTCGTCTTAAAGTCCAATGCCCAAAATAATTTCATTGGTAAAAATTCCCCTGCTAGAAAATGACCCATGATGAAATGGAAACAGAAAAACATTGGAAAGCTTCAGCATTTTATCCTGTTCTAAGAGGATGGGTAGATGGAGATGAGCTCTTTACATAATCTGAGCGGTGGCCGTCGATTAGGAGGAGGCTGCTCCAAAGTTGGCCCACTATTATGTTGCTTCCATTTGTTATTTCTATATCATTGACACCAATTGAGAAATGTTACCTGCTTTGTCTCCATCAAACTCCCCTTAAACTTTCTATTAGCTTGATTGACTTGGCCTTTGGCATGGTTTATCTTTTCAAATTGTGTTTTTTTATGCACTTAAAATATCTAGACTTAGACAGTCCTACTTTCTATTCCATCAAAATGCTGGTAACTAATTGGAAATAAAGATTTGTTCATAAATAAACTGGTAGCCGGACGTTGAGTTTAAGCCCTAATCAGTGAAACTTGATAAGTCTGATATTCTCCGGATCCCTCACCCATTATATCAGGAAGAATACAACAATCTTCAGAGGAAATCACTTACAATTACTGTAGCTTATATTAAAAAAAAACTAATTGTGACAAAAATTGTATTAATATTTATGTCATTATAAATGCAAAAGTAGATTATAAAAAACACATTCAAAAATAGAATAACCAAATAATACATTCATTTTGAATACTGTACTTAAATAATCTCTGAAATGACTATATGTAGCATTGGCAGGTCAAAAATTATTTAAAAAGAGGGCAAAATCTGCACAAAAGCAACCACACAATGTTGAGCTATGCAACCTATTTGAAATATTCTCAGTTCTATGGACAAAACATCCTTCTAGAGCTTTATCTGATTGGTAATCTCTAAGTAGAAAATAATAAATAATAGTAAAAATCTTAGGGGCTGTGACTTTCACTTGTGTTTGCAAATTTGACCCTGAACTTTACTTTTCTTGTAGGAGGATATGTTCTCTCCATCCTGAAGGTTGGGGTTATGTGCAAAAACAAAGCCCACATGAGTGTTTCCTTATACATATTTACCCCTTGTTTAAGCCACAGTCTAGTTTTTGTGCAGATTTTATTAAAGTCTTATGGAACAACCTGGAACAAAACATAACCACACTCTATGTATGAGGCCATATAAATCAATCATTAGTTTAAATCTAAATCTAACTTTAAAAGGCTGCTTTCCGGTCTTCAATTTCAAAATGGTGTAACTCGTAACTGTTAATCACAGTCAAATATTTTCTGTACATGATGCACAATTTGGCCAGCTTTGCCTTGATCGACTCCGATTTTGTCCCACCTTTTTAAATTCACCACAACTTAACACGAAAACTTGCTCTGTTGTGTATGTATAAAGTTCAGAAAAATTAGATAAAGGTTAGGAGATATACTCTGGATCTCAAGTGACAACAATCTCATCTTTAGCTGTATTGCTCATCATGGTGACCTTTAGCACATGGTTAACTTTTATGGTCAGTTTTCATTATATTTACTAATTAAAATTAAACTAAAAGTTGCCTGGCAACAGACTGGCAACCTGTCCAGGGTGTAACCAGCCTCTCCCATAGACTGCAGGAGATAGGCACTGGTCCCACCACAACCCTAAAAAGGACTAAGCAGGAAAAGATGGATGGATGGATGGATGGATGGATGGATGGATGGATGGATGGATGGATGGATGGATGGATGGATGGATGGATGGATGGATGGATGNGGATGGATGGATGGATGGATGGATGGATGGATGGATGGATGGATGGATGGATGGATGGATGGATGGATGGATGGATGGATGGATTGAATTAAACTAAGTTTCCACAAATGGGTTGGTTCACAATATTCATGTGGTAAAATGTATCCAAACTGAAACTGTGATGAGCTCTGACCAATTATCAGGCTATCAATGCATCTTTGGTATTAAACTTGATATGGGTATTTTAAATTCAACATCAGGGAAAAGTAAAATTCAAAAAGTAACTGCAAATAAGACTTTTCTTCATACTATTCACAGAAGACCCTCAGAAAAGTCATGTTACATGCTTATTTATTCCACCCAAGCTCATGAAATGTGTATGAAAGCTTGCTCTGTTTCCCCTGCACACAGTGTGTCAGAGGATGAGAGAGAAACAGGCTATTTTTGGGGAAGCATTGCAGCACTGCATTGCTGCCTTGGCACCTTTATTCAGATGGAGTGTCAATGGTAAAATTCTAAGTTGAGCTTTCTAACAGTGTTGTGTGCCATAGTGAGTAAGTAACAAGTATGTCAACATATTAATGGGGAAGGGAAACAAAAATGAAGAAACTGCCTAATAGGGCTTACTTCATCACAAAGCTACATGGTCTGTTGAGAAAGAGAGCATCTTTATCACTCGGTGTGACATTTTAGCAGAGGTTGGGGGCAGGAAACCGCAGAAAAGTGTACAGCTAAACAGACCATAAATAGAAGCCAGAACCATTGCTGTTTTTCATCTCTTCTGTCTTTTTTTTTCTTCATGTCTCTCTTCGTCACTATGTAGGTTACCTCCTCTGCTCAGTGTGTTCCTTTTTTTCTATAATGAATCATCACTGTCGACGATCGAGCGCAGAATGAGAACCATGTCATCCTCCCTCTTTTGCTTTCCAGCAGCTATTGTTTTGGTCAAGTTAAAAACGTTCATCTGAACGTTCGTTCCTTTTTCACTTGCCCACTCACAGTATGACACAAACCCTCCGCACAGATTGTGACCTCTTCCCACGCATGTCAGAAGAAAAACCAACGTAGTTTGCATGAGATGGCTGGGTGTTGACAAGAAAGATATGCAAGTGCTGAACCACAACTGTGTCACAATCACCTGCTCTTTCAACACAGTGTGGAAATTCACATGAACAACTTTAGATTTTTACAAACCTTCACAAACTTTACCACTTAGAATAACAAATACAAGTCTTTGTATTAATAGGTTTTTGAAATTGGACTTTCTTACATTAAAAAACAAATACAAGACCAATACATTAAGTAAATAATAAATTCATAAAGCATGCTGTTTTTCCTTCTGTGGTCAAAAGCAGGCAAGCTTTTAAATAATAATAAAAAAAAAAACATCATATCACCGTGTTCAGAAAGCTGACCAGTGCAGAAGCCAGAGCCCTGCATTTTGCAACTTTCAACAAATCTTGTTATACGTTAATTATTATGAGTCAGGAGTTAAACAGTGTCTTCTTTGTTCTTTTATTTGCCAGTTAGAAGAAGAGATAAATAAATGATTTACCCTTTAAAATTGCTCTGGAGGAACCCTGGCCAGACTATAATCTACAGACTTGGCAGCAAATTAATGTTATGTACTTTGTCAATAGAAAGGCATGTTCAATGCGACGTGCCTACCATCGAGCTACATGGTTATCATCTTTCATATTTAAAAAGACAAAGCTTAGCAGAAGCCATGATGCAACATGAAATGGATCAAAAGCTTTTCCCCCAAAATTACTTCTGCTGATAACCTTTATGATCACTTAAGACAAGGAAGTAAAAATATATATATATTTTCACAATTCCTGAGTCACTACTACAAATCTCCATATTTTTAGAGGGGAAATATATGCTACATCGGTAGGAAGTTGCCCATAATTACCAAGAGCAAGGAATGTAATAGAAATAATAGAAAAATAATCTGCTGTTAAAAAACACTTAGGCTTAGTCAGAGGAAAAGCATTTGTAAATAATTATTTTAAATCTGTCCACAAAATTGGATTGAGGTCTGGGCTTTGATTGGACCCTGAACCGAATCAAGGTGAAGATCAGCATCCCCTCAGCATTATACTGCCATCATTGACGTTTCTGAGTGCAGATAAAAACGTTATTGTCTAAAGAGCTGTTTTATTGAATACTTTTTGAAATACATTATTTAATCATACCTTGTATTAAAAAAATATTTGTTTTGTTGGTTTTCTGTACAGTGCTTTGTTCTTTTTGTGAAAGGTGCTTAATTTATACACTTTATTTACTTACTTGCTATGTTTTTTGACTACCACACAGAGGCAGAATTCTTCTGAACTTCTTACTGCAGAACTTGCTCTAACTACCTCTCTAGATCACTGCTTTTGTGGCTTCTAGACTAGTCTAGATATATTTTCTTTCAAACAAAAAAATTTTCAATGCTTTCTAGGCCGCAATAAAGTATCTTCAACTTAACGTAGGGTTATGTAAATAAACTGTTGATCTTAAGATCCTTTAATTTGTTTGACAAAATAATAGTGTTTTTGGTGCTTATTGTCGTTTTACTCCAAGTGCAGTTTTTGAAGAATGGGGGCAGTTTAATCAATTTCTTTCTGTACTTTAATGACCCTATGCAGATTCATCTAGCAAGTCACAAATTAAGATACCGTTTAGTGCTGAAATCAAATTTGGTTGAAAACATAGTTAAACCATATCCAATAAATGAAATGATTTGAAAAACCGCAACTTTTGAGAATTATTACCATAGTTCAATTTAGCAAAACCAAAATAAATTAGAAAAGTGAAAAAGTCTTAAAAATCACAATTGTTAATGCTAACCTTTTATATACTTTTGTAAAGAGATATTTTAAATAATAAAAGCAAATCTATACTTTTTAAGACAGCAAGGAACCTTGCATGTGAGAGGGGGTCCTTCTTCCACTACTTTGATGTCCCAAACACATGTCCTTCTCTCAACAAAGGCTGTCGTCTTCCCTGTTCTGCATAAATGTCAAATTAGCGCTCCTTGTCAATTTAGTTTCACCTACAGTATGTTCTCAGTTGTACCTAAGTTATTTAGTTTTCAAATGATGGACTGAGTAGTGTTGTAAGGGAAAAAAATGGAAATTGTTAAGTTGATTCCTGAAAGTCCTTGGTTACATAAAATTTATTTTGCAAAGTTTTTGGAAATCTACTTTTTATGTATGATAAATTGATCCATAATTATTTAAAATCCATTTATCATCTTCTTCTTTCAAGTTATGAACTGGTTATTTGTTTTGGTGAACATATGGTGTTTTGGAGTACATATTGTGATTCAGTAGGCTATCTTGTTAAAAAGCTCAAGACAAGTTCTATGCTTTTGAATTAGAAACATCTAAAATTTTCTTTTTTTTCCCTTCTTACAGATAAATGGACAGAAGGAACTGGATTTACTTAAAAAGGAGACATCTGACTCAAAGACATCTGTAAAACTTTTCTTCCGCCCAGCACAGTTATGATGACTGTTTAAGGCTTAACTTGAAAAGAAGCTCTCACTCCCACTTCTGAGGAATTCAAGGAGCCATTCCAACAGCTCCCTTGGGTATCAAAAAACACCCAACAAAAAGACCTCCGCCCTTCAACTTATCAAGATACCAAGGAAAGGAGTCAAAAAGGGTGTTCTGAAAAAACTGGATCAACAGCAGAGACTGGCAGAGAAGCATTCTTTATTTCCCATACACTCAAGTCAATATCTAACACAAACACAGCCAACAACAAGAAGTTTAGTAGTTGTTTAAGTGAGACATTTTTATTTTCCTTTTGAAAGTCAGAAGAGCAAATGTTAGGATTTTTTTCCTGGTCTAACTGAACTGCCCACAATCAAACCCAGGATACTGTGTGAATTGTATTGATTTTATATTGACCAGACTGGTGTAGTGAATGAAAATATCTTAGTGCTAAACCAATAAAAATTCCTGTGCAATTTGTAGATATCTAAAAGAGAGCACCAACATATGTACTTTCGTGCAAAAAAATGACTGTGCATAGTGTACCTTGATCAGGTTCTGTGAACTAGACTGTTAGAATTTTTAGAAATTTTAAGTTTATATGCATATATATAACACATACCACTTTGGTGCAACAGAGTTTGGAGTAAACATTACACTTGCTGAGCCTTTCCATTTATTGAGGCTTGAGCTGACAGAAGCAGCCAGCTGGGGAGATCTCTGAAGGGAAAATGGAGGCACCCATCCGTCCCCATGTTCCCTCTAATGGCTAATTTTAAAGAAGGAAATTAATCCACTTCCCCTTGTGCAAAACAAAGCCAGGGTGTCCACTGCTAATCAGAGCTATAGCCAGTCTATCTCAGAACTCAATACCTAATGTCCTGCCTCAGGCGTCAGCAGCTGGCTATCCCCATGGACACAGTGAAGATCATCCAGTCCGAGAAGTTTCCCAGAGAATGCCCTGTCCCGGTCACCCAACCCCGCTATGCCCCAGCCCCAAGAGTGGCATGGGATGGTGGCGGTGAGGGCGAAATCATTGTCAACCAGGCCTGCAGTGATCTGACATTGGACATAACACCTTCTCCCAGGCCAATGGTGTCCCCTCCATCCCCAATGATGCGCAGGGAACACAGCTTCCTGGCGCAGCGCAAAACGAGTGCCAATGAAATCTGCTATCACCAGTTCCACTACAAGATGGAAGACGTCATAGTCAACCAGTACGTGCTTCGCTCCTCCTCCACCTCCTCCTCCACTTCCTCTTCCTCCTCTTCGGGCCCTGTTATGCCATGCGAGCCTCTAGAATGCCCCACCTGTGGACACACATACAACTTTGCCGGGAAGCGTCCACGGATCCTCTCTTGCCTGCATTCGGTGTGTGAAGAGTGCCTGCAAATCCTCTATGAATCATGTCCCAAGTACAAATTCATCTCCTGCCCCACCTGCAGACGCGAGACGGTGCTGTTCACTGACTATGGCCTCGCTGCTCTGGCCATCAACACCAGCATTCTGAGCCGTTTGCCCTCCGACCCTAATGGGCCAGTGCAATGGGGCGGGGAAGCTGACCGCAGCTGCTACCAGACTGTGCGTCAATACTGCCAGTCAGCATGCACCTGCCAGATTGCCAACCCATTGTCCTCCTGCGGCATCATGTAGAGAGGAAGGAGGTGAGGACACTGCAAATAAGACTTACCGCTGCTCCCCACCAACACCACTCTTCTCATCCATAAGCTAAACCCTTTCTGCCAAGCCCCCCTTCCCTCTCACATGTACAGCAAATAAATCCCTTCATAGATGTTATCTCTATATATTTAATAGCACAGATGGATACTGTGTGGGACATATGGATGCTGGTGATCCAGAATGAAGCGAATAAATGTATTTTATGTACGGACTGAAAAACTATTTACCATCTCTCATTTGGTTGGATGTGTTTGTCATGACATCTCTTTAAATGGGAATGCCAGGGGAGGTATGTCCCCCAACCTAGGAGAATAAAGATTAAATGAAGCAAGTACCTCTGAGTGTCCTGTGTTAGTAGTTCATGTGATTTTAGCTATAAATGAATGTAATGTGAAACTTTAAATCCAAAGAAAGAAAACTCTTACATCCTGATTCACTAGCAGTGTCTTCTAGTTCATTAGGAATACCAATGTGTTAAAATGCCTATAGAGTAATACAGTCTCCAAAGAGAATTCTGGGTTTTCCTAGGGGTTTGTATGGAATCAGGCATGCCTAGAAGGAGGCACTTCAGAGACTTCCTTATCGGATAACTGAACTATTGCAGCTAACGCTAGGAACAGCATTACATAGCTGAAGTGCTTGCCTATATTTTCAAAATAATTATTCAAAAGAGGTCAATTGTGACGTATCAATTATTTGGTAAAAGGTTTTGGTAAATTTCGTCAAACCGGCTTGCCACAGAATGCATCAATTTGTCTCGACCATCTCAGCATTTTGGTAGAAGAAGATGTCATTTATCCATTCCCCATTCTTACCTATCCTTGCAAGTAAACCATAGTGAAAGGTTGTGTACAATCTTGACAAGTTGGCAGCTGCTCATAGGGCACCACAGCACACAGGTAAAATAACCTAACATTCAGACTTTTTTTAAGTTATTGCGGCACTAATGGCTCATTATTGTACAATAGTCTCACAGGAAAGTTGGTACAAGAGAGAGGGAGAGACATAGGGCAAAGGACCATAGACGGGATTTCAATCCGGGTCGGCCACGTTGAGGCCTAAGGCCTCCATACATGGGGTCATGCGCATTAACCACTATGGCACTGATGCACACCCAATTTGTATGTTGTTTTTATGTCATGTTACGAGATAACATATTCACATCAAATCTTAGGGAAAAAATATCACCCATTTCTAAAAGGTAAGGAATACAAACTAAGATGTTAAGCTAAGATATGCGTAAGAAGTGGTTAACTGACCTGCAGCTTTTATACACTGCTTAAAAAATAGAGGGAACAAACAAATAACACATTATAATTCTGAAAGAATGAAGTACTCTTTTCTCATTGATCACTTAGTTCTGTAAAAATTTGAATGTGCTGACAACAAAATCACAAATATATCATCAATGGAGATCAAATGTATTAACCAATTGAGGCCTGGATTTGGAGTCACACACAAAATGAAAGTGGAAAAATTATACACAACAGGCTGATCCAACTTTAATGCAATGTCCTTAAAACAGGTCAAAATAAGGCTCAACATTGTGTGTGGCCTCCACTTGCCTGTTTGACATGCCTACAACAGCTGGGCATACTCCTGATGGGGAGGCGGATGGTCTCATGAGGGATCTCCTCCCAGAACTGGACTAAAACATTGGGCAACTCCTGGACAGTCTGTGGTGCAACGTGAAGTTGGTGGATGGATCGAGATCTGAAGTCCCAGATAAGCTCAATCAGATTCAGGTCTGGGGAATGGGTGGCCAGTCCCTAGCTTCAATGCCTTCATCTTGCAGATACTGCTGACACACTCCAGCCACATGAGGTCTAGCATTGTTCTGCATTAGGAGGAACATATGGCCAACTACACCAGCATATGGTCTTACAAGGGGTCAGAGGATCTGATCTCGGTACCTAATGGCTGTCATGCTACATCTGGCAAGCACATAGAAGGTTGTGTGGTCTTCCAAAGAAATGCCACACCACACCATCTCTGACCAACTGCCAAACTGATCACGTAAACAATGTTGCAGGCAGCAGATCACTATCCACATTGTCTCCCATCTTTGTCAAGTCTGTCACATGTGCACAGTGCGAACCTGCTGTTATCTGTGAAAAGGACAGTGCATCAAGGGGAAATTTGCAAATAATGGTGTTCTCTAGCAAATGCCAAGCATTCTCGAGTGTGCTCTGTGAGCACAACCCCCATCTGTGACTTTGTGTCCTCATACCATACTCATGTATTTGATTTCTAAGCGTTTGTACAAACACGTGAATATTTGTGTCCTGCTGGTGGTCACTTTGCAGGGCTCTGGCAGTGCTGCCCCTGTTCCTAATTGTATAAAGGGTTCTGGGGTCCTGCTGCCTGGTTGTTGCCGTCTTACGGCCTTCTCCATGTCTTGTGGTGTGCTGGCCTGTCTCCTGGTAGCGTCTCCAGCCTCTGGACACAACACTGACAGACACAGCAAACCTTCTTGCCACAGCTTGCATTGATGTGCCATCCTGGATGAGTTGCACGACCTGAGCCACTTGTGTGGGTTGCAGAGTCTGTCTCATGCTAATATGAGTGGGAAAGCACCATGAACATTCTAAAGTGACCAAAACATCAGCCAGAGAGAAGAGGTACTGAGAAGTGGTCTGTGGTCCCCACCTGCAGAACCACTTGCTACTTGTCTTGCCAATAATTTCCACCTGTTGTCTATTCCATTTGCACAACAACATGTGAAATTGATTGTCAATTGGTATTTCTTGCTATGTGGACAGTTTGATTTCACAGAAGTTTGATTTGATTGAACTTATATTGTGTTGTTCACCTTTTACCTTTATTTTTTGAGCAGTATTTACATAAGGTGGGCTGAAGTTACAAAAATGTAAAAAAAAAAAAGCTATCTCAATATGAGAGGAGGGTTTTTTTTTTGACTATATTACTAGCTTAAAATTATGCAATGAATGTTAATGTATTTCAAAATGCTGATTAATTTGACAAATTAAAGAAAGAACATGTCCATACATTCATTACCAACGGTCATTCTGAAACACTATCACAACTACCTCTTGAATTTAAACATTTCATCATTTATTTACAAAGCAACAGAGGCATAGTGTTTGAATTTCTTTCCATATTCCACATCTTCCTCTGGTCAATACTGAATAACATGTGGTTAAGCAGTTTTAAGACTTTGGTAAAGAGTCTTTAATTCCTGCAGCTTTAAGTGTAAGAGAAGCTGTATAATAAAATATTTTTTTAATGCTTTGAACATGACAGAAAAAAGGGTAACATATTCAAGTCAATCAATTTGTAGCGTCTTATAAACGAAGATATTTGTCAATAGTGATGAACGGCTGAATCGTGCTGTAACATTTTCAAATCAGCATCAATGCTAACACATTATTTGATCTAAAACTCCTGAGATGTCAGCGTATGAAAACAGCCATTGTAGTCCATTTAATTTGGTGACACTTTCTTTGACCTCCTGAACAGCTGGCTGAACCGTCGCCGGGTGGAGAGTTTCTCTGACGACTGCATCTGTTGGCTACACAGATAAAATATTCATGAGGCTGCAAGCATGCACAGGAAAAATTGAGGTAGTATGTGTGTAAACATTGCTTTAAAAAAGAAAAAAAAGAAAAAAAAAAGAAACTATAATTAAAGCATCAGCAGCACCTCTACTGTGCAGTAAATGTAATGTGGCTACATTTGCTTACAGCATCGGAATCTCAATATTTCCCCTAAAAAGTTTTCTGTGATATATTGTCTTACCTCCTTATGTCTGATACAGCAGACTCCGCCCTTCTCAAAGACCCAATTTTTAACCTCTGGATCAAACTTCTTCTGTTTGATTCTTCCTTTTTGGAATCCTAAAAATAATCCAAAAGTTGAGTTACAAAACAGAAAAAAGTGAACTTCCTATTTAAGATAATCTAACTACACTGTCTTCAGTAGATGTTTATGCATATATCTCACCATCTGTGTCGTGTCCTCCTCCTCAATTTCCCGTAGATTATTCGTACTCAGTTGCTGCCCTCTGGAGTTTCTGTTTAATTTTTCTGCAACAAATACAAACTGTGAGTTAACTAGCGGTTCCTTTTCCAAGAACAAAGAAAAAAATATATATCCTGAAGTGAAAGATGCCTTACTTAAGTGCAGTTTTGAAAATGTTGTGTCTGAGGCTGATCTCTGTCTGAAATGGCGAGATTTTTGTTGCGGGGGTTCACTGGGAACTTGCTTTGCATTTTCAAGTGAGGGTTTGTCCTCTTGGGAATCTGCTGAGTTATTCTGACAAATATGAGGAGGAATTAAGAGAACAAACTTTAGTATATTGATCATATGTTTCGAGCTGCACAGATTTCAGGCTGTCATATTGTAATCTCATGGATCACTCACCTTTTTTTCTTCATTTTCCTGGAGTGCAACTGTCTCTGTCTGCAACTCCTGGTTTTGCATCTTCTGTTTGGCATACAGCTCCATCTTTTGGCAGACCCACTCCAAGTAGCAGAGACCGGGACTGAGTTCCTTTCCCTCAAACATACCAGAACCCTGTACACATAAATACGCAGTAATATTGTATCATTCACATGTATAAACTATTGTGGGAAAGCTTACTAGTAGCTTATAGCTAGTCAGCTACAACCTAGTAGATGCAGGTTTAAATAATTACCTTCAGAAAATTAGAGAACTGACAACTTAAAGAAGAGCTTAGTAATCTATTTTAGTGAAATTATTGAGATCAACAAAAAGCATGTTGTTATAGGTGGTGAATCTATTTCAATTTTTTAAATCCCTGAAGGAAGAGTAAAGAAACAAAATAGCACAGGTAAAAGAATTTAAATTGAATGCACCTTCAGAAGCACTACATAAAAACTGTTTACCAATGACACTTAACAATACCCTCAATGCTTTCAGATTAATATAAAATAAAACAAAAAATCTGAAGAATAATGCAGAACTGTTGCAGCTGCTCTTCTTCTATAGAGGATACACATAGTGTGGTTATATTGATCCTTTTTTTACCCTATGTTCTTGTTATTCTTTCCTGTTGAGTCTATTACTGGTTTGCCTTGAAGTTACTTCTGCATTTTCTCCCAGGCTAGATGGAACAATTGGTGGTATGGCAATATTAAAATTATCTGGGGCTAAATCGCTTTATATAGACCAAAACAAGCTGTGTATGAAGCCACATCTCTATCTCTACACTGGCTGCTGCCTTACACCAATTTTACCTGTCTGCTCGAACGCACATATCTGCAAAGGAAAAAGTACACAGCAGAACAGCTTCACCTTACAGAAGAACGTGTCTAGTTAGGAAGTAAGTAACTTATAACTTTATAATGCTGTATGCAAGCGAACAATTTAATCCACTGGA